CTCCAAACTTTAATCTCTGCTCAGAATTCTGCTGCTTAGGTAATCCATTTCACTTGTCATGTTGAATCTGACACCTTTTTATCATTCTTTCCATTGCCTTCCAGTTCCTTTTCACACACAAATTAAACATTGCTTTTCCACTGTTTAAAAAGCTTACAGGCCTGGCTCTCACTTCTCTGCCCTGCTCATTTTCTATTATATTTCTTCAACTTGTGTACATTTCTCCTATTAAACTTAGAATTTTCATTTCCAGCAACACTGTAGGGGCAAGGAAAGTCCCTACATCCAAACTCTCCGAATTATCTAAACACCAGCATCAATTTAATGGAGGCAAAGTTCTCATTTTCGTATTAAAAAAACCCTCTGTCCAAACTTGGTGAAATGAATGAAGCAGGAATTTACAAAGTAATAGTGTACCCTGTATACATTGCAAAAGGGGGACTGGGTTGCCCCGCACCCCACAAAAAGGCAAAAGATTATACAAATGTGCATGCAAGTTACATATGCTTATTTATAATTACAGAGTAAAACTTAGAACTAGAGATGGGATGCTCTGCAATGTAACAGAGAAAGGCCATTCTGGCTGGTGGGGTACGAATCTAATAAGTAAGAATGTGACCTTGTGCTTTCCCATCCAACTGCCAACTGGAGAAGGGCAACTCCAAATCCTCTGCTCCCAGATCCTTGATATGCTTGTAATGAAACCAGACTTGGGCTGGACGACCCTTCAGACAAGGAGCCCCTTCGAATAGAAGCCTGCTCTCCGCAAATTAGGACACAGCCCGCTGCAGTTGAGTGTTCGTTGCCCATTAATTAGATTATTAATTGAGCCAGGACCCTGTTTTGAATGCACATGGCATTCTTGTCACCATGTCTGACCTTTGCAAGCAGCAACAGAAATCAGCCATGGTGGTACAGCAGTTCTTTAGAGATAATGTGAGTGGGCAGGAAAAGAGTATTTGAGGGGGAAATGGGATATTAGGGGAAAGGCACATCCATCATGTCAGACTATTAATTCAGCCCATTATCTAACAACACGCATGTGTCTGCCAGGCGAAGGTTAATGGAAAGTCTATGAAACTTGGAATACAATTAAGCCTCGGAGGAAGGCCCAGTTGGAAGCTGTGGAGGTTTCTATGGCAACCAAAGGGCTGGGGACTAGGAATGGCAGATTTACTCGAAGGGAGATAAATATATTAAAATGGCTCCCCTCCACCACTTTGTCTTTATCTTAATAAGAAACGGAGCAAAATGCTGAAAACAAAGGCATCCATGACCTTGAACATGGTGAGGTTTACTGGTGTTTACAGAAATAAGCAGAATCACAAACACTAGCAATAGGTGGGAGTTACAGAACACATGCCCAGTTCATCTTAATAACTTTTTTTTTTACTATATTAAGAAAAACAACCACCATGAAAATCCGTGGATGGGTATGTGTGGTTTATGGGCACTTTCTGCTTTCTGTGCATTCTTTCCCCCTTTTTATATATTGCTACACCTTGGCAAAAGCAGCTCTCAACACCACAGCCCAGTTATCCCCACACAGATATTTCTGCAGAACACTTTTGCTTAAGATGAATGAATAGTGCACTCTAATCTTCAGCTGGTCCATTGATAGCTTGCTAGGCCAGTCCATGTGCTTGCTTACCCAGAAGCACACAAATGCCCTCTCACTTCGCAAGGACAGAGACAGAGATGATGACTAGGTCAAAAGCATGAGCGTTCACTCAAGGGCTGAATACAGGCTAATTGTGGGTTGTGGCTGAAATGTGGGCTATTGTGCCCTCTGAACCCAGCCTAGATAAGAAGCCATGGTGAACAACCCACAGTTCACAACCATGGGTCCTCTTCATAGTTTGCCATGGCTAGCAAGTAAGTGAGCACAGTCACCCACAGTTCAACAACAGCCCTGGTTCTTCAACAATCCACATGCAACCCAAACCCAACCCTTGGATGTGGGTTATCACAGTATCTGCACCCAGCATCCAAGGCATAGGCGGCTGGGAATCAGGTCAGGGCACCAGGACCCAGGCAACCAGTACAATATGCAGGCCCATTCCAAATCATAGTCAGGCGGTCCATAGGTCAAGGCAAGTAACAGAAGTGCAAGGTAGGCCAATCTGAATAGAGCAGAGCAGTCAACACCAGTCAGGAGCCAAAAGCCAGAGAGACAAACCAAGGAGAAGCAGATACCTGGGACTGGAGCAGGTGAAGTCCAGTATGGTCCAGAAGCAGAGGCAAGAGCAAGGCAACAGGCAGGTTCCAGAACACACAGGGTACTCCAACAACAGCAAAAATCTTTGTTGCTGAGGCCACACCTGCAGCGAAGAGCTGGTTCTTACACAGCTCCTCCCTCAGGTCTCCCAGGTGGCGCTGGTAACATTCCAGGTGGCTGTGATTGACTGTGGACCTGGTCCTGCAACCACCAGGGCTGCTATTCTGGTCTCTGGCCAGCAGAGGGAGCCCTGGCACTGCTTCAGAACCTCACAATCATGCAGAATCAGGCAATGGCTCCCAGGTAGGGGCATAAATACTGGCTGTGCCCGTGCAAGTGTCCTGCCCTTCGAGGTGGAAGAGCACAACTTCTTCTCCCCACCCTTTTTTTTTTTTTTTTTGCTGATCTGTGAGAAAGGGGAGCATGAGCAAACTCCCCCATTGTACTCTCACAGTAGTGGGCAGGGACTCAGAGGAAATGAAATTTCATGAACAGCACCCTGTCACCCACTGGAGGACCAGGGCTTCATAGTGAGTGAAATGTTACAGGTCAGTGTGTGGCCTTGAAACTTACCTTCAAGCCGAGGTAGGTCCCCCAAAGCCCCCCCCCCCCCCCCCCACCCCGGTGGGTAAGGGCCCCTGTGTTTGCAGATGGCTATCAAAATGCTTTTGGTGTCACCCACTCATGGGTGGCAGCCTTGGAACAAGCAAAGCTTTGCAGGTCAGCGGTGGCCACGGAAGCATCCCCCTGGGTTGGGACAGGCTACATGGCGCCCCATCTGGGTCAAGGACTCCAAGCACGGTGACCCATGGCTGTCAAAACGGCCCTGTGTCAGCTGCCCATGGGCCAGGGCCTCTGAGCCGGGTCAGGCACAAGATTTACCCCAGGTCAGGGCCTGCGCCTGCATGTGCGAGATAGAGTGCGTCAGCTGATGCATGTCAAAACAACCCCACATCACCCTCAAGTGGGGTAAGGGCCTCAGAGCAAGAGAAATTTTGGGGTTCATCAGATGGCTATGACGATGGTCTCCCGTGGCAGGGAGACCCCGTGGATCAGGGCCTCAGAACATGCAAAAGAAAGCATTTCAACCAACAGCTTTAAAAATTGGCCTGCGTTGCCCTCCTCATCTCCAGGGCCTCAGAGCATGAAAAAGTTCATAGGTCCGTGGAAAGCTGCTCATGTCACCGCCCGGTGTGGGGCATGCCTCTGCGTGTTCGGCCTGGGATGACGGCTGTAAAGGTTGGCCCATGTTTCCCAAACCACAGGGGTGTCGTGCGCCAGGCATCCCTCCCCAACGAAGGCAATCACTCCAGCAATTGCTAAAAGAGCCTTTATTCGAAACGGCTACAAAGTATTCACAGCACTGAAAATACACTCAATACACACCAATGCCAGCCCACACTTTGCTTATGAACCCTTCGGGGCCTGTCTCTGGGGGGCAGTGTGCTTTGGATGTGCGCTTGCCACTGCTCCTCAGATTATGTCTCCAACGGGCCCAGCCATCGCGTGCGCCTGCGCAATCGAGCACCCAAAATAATATTTATTTATTTAAAACATTCCTATGCCGCCCCCATCGCAACAAAGCCTCAGGGCGGCTCACCACAAAAACAAAAACAAACAAAATCATACAAAAATTTATACACTAAAAATATTAAAACCCGATGCATCTCGGCTTAAATTTTTTTTTAAATCCTCCATAATAAATTAACACTTAAAATAAGTTTTAAATAAAAAGGTCTTAGGCTGGCGCTGAAAAACAAATAATGACGGCGCCAGGCGGACCTCTCTGGGGAACGCATTCCTTAGGTGGGGCGCCACTGCAGAGAAATATCAGAGGGACTTGGGGAGAGGAAGTTTTTGTGGGCCTGCAGACGGCTGTCAAGGTTATCCTGCAATGCCCGCTTGCAGGCCCGGTCTTGGAACGAGTGGCATTTTTCAAGTTGGCACAGGGCTGTGAAAGTCTGCGGCTCTCTCTAAGGGCAAGGGCCTGAGAGTGCGCAAATTGTCATGGGCTGGCTAACGGGTGGAAATTTCCCCAGCGACAGCCAGGGCCTCGGAACGAGCGAGAGTCGGTGCATCTGAGTGAGCCAAAAGCAACATGCTGGCGGGCGGGCAGGGGGCACCCCCTGGTCAGGGCAGGCGTGGAGAGGCGCATCTGCGGGTCCGGGCCTCCAGGTGAGCCAAATCCGACACATCAGCAGGTGGCGAGTGCCATCACGCAGTCCAAAAACTGAAGTGCTACTGGATGGCCAGGAGAGTCACCAGCCGGGCCAGGACAGGCACGGGGGGCCCACCCACAGCTTGGAGACCCAGTCCAAGCCGAATTGGATGCGCTGGAGCGTGGCCGGGAAAGCCCAGCCACAGGTCAGCACCACATCATAGTGTTGCTGCGAGGATGACGAAAAAAAGAGGACTGCTTTGCAAGCCACTCTGGATCCCTTGCAGGAAGAAAGGCGGAATGGCAATAAATAACCAGCCGAACAAGCACGTCTTGCTGCAGCGGCGGCTACCTGACTTGCTTTGGCCTTTCACTGCAAATTTGCTGATGAGAACTGCCCTCCTACCTCTTGCAACAAAAGGCAGAACCATCTAGGCCTCCTGTGTTTTCATCCCCTGTGCTTTGTCTGAGTTCATTCACAGTGGAAGCAACAGCCAGCAAGAGTCACGGTCCCCTCCTTTCTCACTCTCCCTCTCCCACTGAAATCAGCAATGACATTCATGATCCCATACACAAAATTTCTACATCCGCTGCATCAGGATTTTGCTTTGGAGGCAGGGGGCAATGATTTTGAATCATTTCTTTGTCCTGTTTTTGGTGGTTCTTTCGACAAAGGGTTCTTTGCATCAGCTTGCATTTCCTCGCAAACATCCGGATTTAGGTGAGTGGGCATGAAAATACCTTTGTGGCTGGAGTTTCTGAATGTATATTAAGAGTACCATGTTTGGGTTTTTTCCCCGTCGTCCATTATTGTGCACTTAGCAGGTTTCTCACACAGAGAAATTAAGCATTGAACTAAAGTTCCCTAGCATGGAGATCGAGAGAAGGGGGAAAATGCCGCTGCTTAATTTCTTCCTCCAGAGAAGCGCATGGGGAGAGGTGTCTATATGCATGTGACACTGAACTACAATGCTAGGCACTAGGGCAGAGCAGGTGAGCCTTCCTGAACGTCGTACCTTCCGTATATTTGGTACTACAACTCCAGGAACCCTGACCTCTGGACATGGCTAAAAGCCCGACACTGTAAGAACAGCTTTAGGCTTAAGCTCGGGTTACTGATCTCATCAGGAAATCATGCTACACTTGGAAATGTTGATGTCCCACTCCTGAAAGGCCTGTCCTTTAATGTCTGCCTGTCCTGAAAGTTCTTCTCCTTTGTATCATGTTTCATGCTTGTCAATACCATGCGAGGATGGAAAGCTTTTATACTTCCATTATACACAAGGCAGGAAGATGCGGACACGAGTTGCAGCGCTTTGCAGATGCCTTCAGAACAGAGGGATGGAAAACTGCTTTTCTGCAGGAGGCTGTGCGCAATCCTGGAGAAGGTGTCCCAGAAGAAAATGCAAGCATATGATGCCTTGATTTGCGCTCCTCAGAGTCTCCTTGCCAATGGCAGGAATGAACACTTAGACCCCCAGGGAAGAATTAAATCACCTTGAACCTGTCAGAATCCCGGAATCTCAATTTGAGAGGAGGGAATAAAACTCGGGTTGGTGGGAAAGACCAAGCGTCCAGACCATCTGAGGCTTTATTGTATTTCCCCCAAGGTTCCTGCGGTACTCACGATAATGCATGCATTACCGGGCAGGCAGAGTGAACTCTGCTGCAAAGCTTCAACACCATTGCAGGGCATTTATAGGTACACAGGCACAGGGCAACAGATGACAGAATGCAGAGATTACAATAAGATTCTGAGGTCATCACATACAGAACAGATAAAGAAATGTCAGTCAATCACACAGTAACAATGAGATTGCAATATTTCTAATTGCCTGTATTGACACTTTAGTTCAGTAGCTTGAACCCATCTCCAGGTCTGCTTAGACATGTAAATTCAAGCTACTAGAAACTATTCATGATAAGCTCAGACCCTTATCTCTAACTCTAAACATTCTGCATGATCAGGGCACATGAAGCCCTCTGGGCTATCAAAAGATTATTGTAAACTGAATTCCAACAATGACTATTTACAATGTATATTTGGACTAAATGGTCTGTCTACTGTAGCTTACAGCTAAAGGTGAGAGAAAGGAGTGGGGGAATGCCATTTTAAACAGTGACAGCTTGGTTTTGAGAAGCAGCACAGGGTTTGATTCCACAAGGCAAAGGCACACAGAAGTAATGCTTTTCAGACAGGATTTATCCAAATTTTCCCAACAAACCGCAGCGAGGTGGGATCACCTTTTTTATTCAAGCGTCATTTTAATTGTTAATGGTATTTATTTTTATTCTTTGGCCAGGGTGACTTATTTTATACTGTTATATGTGTTTTATATTGTTAATTTATGTATTTTAATTTATTTATTTGTAAGCCGCCCCGAGGCTTATGAGGCGGCCTAGAAATTTTCTAAATAAATAAATAAATAAAATAATAAATCACCCAGGCCCCCTGCAGTTTACTTACAACAGCATGTTACCAGATAATGGTCCCCACCGCCAATCACAAGCTTTTAGAACATACACAGAGTGTTTTATAGATTCTGAGTCACATGACATAGCAACTGATCAGGTGATGACAAAATAAGGGGAACACAGTGAAAAAGAATGTGAGATCTGCAGAGGAGACTTAATACAATAGCCTTGATTACAAGAGATTAACATAAAGATCACTGAGGCACAGGGATTATTGTGGGTCTTGTCATGCAAATGAGGGTTCCATACTGCTAGAAAAACTTGTCTGGCCACCTTCATCAGTTTTGTTAACTGTTAGCCTGAAAATAGTCTTGGGAAGCCCATTCTGCAAAGCCTTTTCCAACCAAAGGAAGTAATCATCTCTTAAAGGAGAAGCTTGAAAATAAAACTAAACAGAAGCCTGCCTTGGAATTCTGGTACTTTCTGAGAAAGCGGTACAGAGATGTTGCAAGTCTGATTTTATAACACAAAGGCAAATATAAGCAATCTTTTTCTAGCAGGATTTATCAGAATTTCCCCATCACACTGCCTAACTAAGCCTTGTGAAACCATTTTGGACTTTCCAAATTTTGGTGAGGGTGGACCTGGCCTTTGGATCTGTGGTTTTTCAGCCCATGGGCAGGAGCAGACTGGTAGATTCCACCTGCAGGCACTGTTTGGGAAGTCCTTTGTATGTACTGATGCAGAAATGGGGCATGTGAAAATGTGCATGTTCGATCTTCAGCTTGCTTTTCAAACTTTTCGGAAAACTATTTTTTCTTTGACGTTTTAGATTGGCCCCAAAACTGTGGCGTGGCTTACTTCCAGCCAAATGTATTTGCAAAGATAATTGCAGGCAATGAAGCAAGACCGCATTCTTGGCCCTGGCAAGTTTCTTTACAGGTACCAAGATTTTAAACTTTAAAACAAATGTTCTCAACTGGGTAACTTTTGGGGAGGGCCTGGATTCGGAGACAAATATCCGTGTTTCCTCACTCATGAAAAGTGCAACTTAGTGTTAATGTTTCCCTGCTTGGTAAGATTAGGGAATTAGTGCCTAAGGGCACATTCTCATGTAGACCGAAGAAAGGGCTGTTGCTCTCAACACACCCAGGGAGAGATGCTGGGACTTACAGGGCTTTCTTTTTGGTCTAAACATGCATAGGATTATGTCTCAGTGGCCCATTCTTCACTCAGCTTTTGGTTCTGCTTACTGGGACAAGATTTTACATTATTTTCCTCCTTTTCTTTCCATTGCTCCCAAATAGGGCTGTTTTGCTATGATGGATAACAAAAAGAATGACAAGGAAACCAGAAATTCAACAAACCATGAACAAGAGCATCCAAGAAACAAAAGCTGATTAAATATTGGTTAATAGGTGGTGAAAGATGCAATAGGATGGACCTCACCTCACCTCGTTAATTTGATTTCAATTAGCATTAAAATAGACTTGTGATGAGGGTTGACTCCTGAACAAAGGGATGAAGTCAGGGGGACATCAGGGGACAAGGGGATGGAATGGAGTCTACTGAAAGGCAGCATGGCCGGCTGGCCACCCCACACTGTTACGTTTTGTTGCTGGCCTCATTTGTATATATGTAAAAGAAAAAAACACACCCAAACTCTTAGGAAAATATTTTGACTTGGATTCCTCCGTGCAGAGGTTAATTGTCCGATGCCCATTTCTTCACCGTTTACATGCATTCTCCCAATTCGCTCCCCTTCTCAGGTCCGCTCCACGCCAAGGGACAGATTCGTCCACGTCTGTGGGGGCACCCTCATCCACAAACGCTGGGTTCTCACAGCTGCCCACTGCTTCCAGAAGTGAGTTCTGCACGGCCTGGTGATGCTTGGGGAAAATGAAAGCAGGGAAGCCGGGACAGGGAGCTCCAGCAAAACCACGTGTCTTTGAGCATCCCTTCTCAGTGGGGCAGGGTCAAGGGAAGTGGCCGTGCTTTTGCTTGTCTGGCTCTTTCTGGATCATTTTTGCTCCTGATGGACTTCTTTCTGGCTAGAAGGAAACAGCTCAAGGAGAAGAGTTGTGGGGCGAAGAAAAGCCGTAGCAAAGCAAAACGAAACATACCCCATCTTTCCTTTCTTGACGACATGCTAATTCTTCATTTCTTCTATTTATATCCCACCTTTTTTCCTCTGAGGAATCCAAGGCAATCCCCACAATAACCCTGTGAGGTAGGTTAGGCAGACAATCAGTGACTGGGTCTAAGTCATCATGGCTAAGTGGGGACTAGCACCTTCCTCTCCTGCAACGCTCTAACCCCTGCACCACAGTGGCGCCCACAGGTTGCTCCCCATGTGGGATAGAAACAGGACTGGGAACCTGTGCTTGCTGGTGTCATTTTTATAATTTGCACTTTATAAAACGGCATGGTTTTATGCACTGGCCCCTGGGGAAGAGTGCCTACTAGTCAGCCATGTTATCACGAAGAGCTAGAGCGCTTTCATACAAAGCTTGTATCATGCCATCACCTCGCTCCGTTTGCGCAATTTCACAGGGAAGGTGGTGGGTACCCTGAACAATCCTTCCTGCTTGCAAGTTTTGCATGGCTTCCCACAGATACTTCTCTTTTTTCACTGAGCAGAAAATCCCTATTAAGGAAGACAGACAGAATAGCCAGATAAAGCCTTTGTCTGGAAGCACCCCTAGGCCAGAAAGTATCTGTCAGCCCATATGCTCAGCCCTGCTTCCTTGGTTTTTAGGGGACAGGGAGAAGATGTCAGGAACTGGCGAATTCTTCTTGGCAAGCATAATCTTCACCACCCTGAATCCACAGAGCAAAGCTACCGGGTGAAGCGGATTTATCGGCATGAATGTTTCCAGTACCCTCAGCGAAATGAACTGGAGTATGACATAGCTTTGGTCAAGCCAGTGGGAGACATTGTGGCCAACAGGTTTATCCATTATGCCTGCCTGCCAAAGAGAGACAGCTTTCTCCGTCCGGGACATGCCTGCTGGGTGACTGGCTGGGGGGGCACAAGAGGTATTTCTCAATACCTCAGACCTCACCGTTTCAGTGATGAGATGCGGATACATATGGTACTATTCCTTGGAGAGAGAGGTCCTCCCTGTACATTAAAGATCTCTGTTTACATGGGTACCCCTCCCTCCAATTTAATCTCATAGTCATCTTGTCCAATAGGCAGTGTTAAGAAATATTGACTGGCCTAAGGTCACCCAGGGGTGCTCCATATAGTTGAATACAAATTTAAAAGTAGGACTGACTCCCTTGTCTAAGACCTTGTAAACCTCACCCTGTATCCAATGTACATGGTGCAGCACAATCTGAAGAATTCTTACAGCAATGTCCTATTTACATTTTCATAAGGAAGAGCAGTGGGGAGCAAGACATGGCCAACTTTGAATATAATTTTATTCTGGGTTGGGGAGGTGGGGGAGAAATCCAAATTCTGTGCTAAGGAGAGACACATTTTGATCTTGCCTAATTTATCCCTCAACAGCTAGTCAGAGTAAGATGGAAGGAGCTATGCAGGGCACTAAAGCCCTACTTGCGTATCATTGGAAACTCTACTGCCCTCCAGTTTTGTAAAGTTTCCTTGTGTGGTTGCGTGGGAATAATTTTTACTCACCATAGGTAACCAGCTTAATTGTCCGTTACGAAGCCTGCATGGGGCAAAGGAAGAACTGCTGCTTCTGCTGGCAGTCCCATGTTCCTTATAACATTTTGTGCCACAGAAGAGCAACAGCATAGATATGTGGCTTGGTTGTGTGAACAGGAATTGTTACAACAACATATAGAGAGGATGGAAAGTTAGCAGTGTGTAAGGTCTCCATATTCATAAGTGGCTTGTCTTTAAGTGTTTCTTCTTTAGCTATAGTTGCGGGGGGTGGTGGTGGGGGGGAGATTCCCTAACAAAAACCTTCTAATAAAAAGGGTTCCTTGCAAGTTTTTATCTGGGGTAGCAATGTCTTTGCTCTTTTTTATATTTTATGTATTGAAGGTGGGAAAGAAAACTTCACTCTCTCCGAGGTTTTGAACCAGGCTCAGTTACCAATCATAGACTTCCACACATGCCAGCTCAAGAAATTCTGGGGAGACAAAGTCCACTTGTCAATGATCTGTGCTGGACTGAAAGATACTGCAGGGTCTCCTGCTGCCTGCCAGGTACAGCAACCAGCTCTCAATTCAGGGCCTTTCCAGCCAATGTTTTATGTGCCATCAGTGGAGAACGTTCTCTTGGGAGGCTGCTTTTCACGGGTGCCTTCACACTAAGCACTGAAGGGGGAACTGCCATGCTGTGTGTGGAAGACAGTTGTCAGGCCTGAAGGCAGTGTTTTCTTTATACGTACAGTGCAGCAGCGAAGTTCAGTATCGTTCCTCACCGGGCAGACGTTCCGGTCACAGTAGCAGGAGATCATTCTGCGCCCTGTGTACACCGTGAACCCGTTGAGGCAATTTTCTTTGTTTGAGACTATTAATTAGATCTCCCCCCACCCTGCCCATGTGAAAGTATATTGTTGCTGGTAGCCAAGGCCTAGCAGCCGCACATTTCCATGCATCATTTCCACTGAACTTCGCTGCAGCCATGGCCGCCTTGGAAGAAAGTTGCAAAGCAGTGATATAGAAGATAAGTACCCGTGAGCACTACAGAGTTCCTTTCTCTTCTTCCGGCAAGTAACAGCAAACTATTACGGAATAGGGGCTGCTTCCAGAACAGATGTCAGAGTTCTTCCGCAGGCCTACATCCTTGCATATCCCTTTTTCAAACACTAACCACTTTCTCTTGTTGAGAATTCTGCCCAGAAGTGTGTGGAGGTTTTAACTTTTGATGCTTAAAAGTTAATGTGCTGCTACTGATAAGCCCATTTCCAGTATATCACACATGGCTGTGCTTACTCAGGAGCAAGCTGAATGGGATACAAGAGAACTATAAACAGAATTTCCCAGTCTCAGAAAGAGGCTAACAAGAGCTGGGCAGGCAGCGACGGTGAGATGTTATGGCACTAGAGAAACAAGGTTTAATCCTCCCCAGCAGCATTTTCTCTAGGTTATCTCTACCCCACCAGTTCTTATTTGCTTTATTTGTCCTTGATTATCTTTGCTATTTGAGGTTCGGGTTGCATCTGTGGCTTGGAGTACCTTCTAGGAGCTCTGGCTGATGTCCCAGCTCTGGCCCTATCTTGACAGGGATAGCCTGGCTACATTAGTCTACGCTCCAGTCATCTCTGAGTTAGATTACTGCAATGCACTCCCTGTGGGGCTGCCCTTGAAGATAGCATAGAAGCTGCAGCTGGTGCAGACAGGAGCAGCCAGATTAATGACCAGGACCTGCAGGTCTGAACATGTAAGACCAGTTCTGGCCCACTTGCATCGGCTGCCCGTATGCTTCTGGTCCCAATTCAATGTGCTGGCTGTGATTAAAATTTTAAAGACTGGTAGAAGTTCCTAATCAGTGTTCTCTCAGGTTACCTCTAGACTGACACTTGCTTCTAGCCACTGAACGCCACGGGTACAAGAATGCCATGTTTCATCCCTTGGGCAATCTCTTCTTCTTCCAGGGAGACTCGGGTGGCCCACTTCTTTGCCAGAATGGGAGAGATACGTGGGAAGTCCACGGAGTCGTTAGCTTTGGACCAGTTGGGTGTCAGCTGCAGAACAAGCCCACAGTCTTTACTAGAACATCTGCGTATATTTCTTGGATTGAAGCTATCAGGATGCAGGATCTATTTTTTTGTAACGACAGGAGAAACAAGGAAAATCCCTAAATATTAATAAAATCATTTGTAAATGCAGGAATGTGTGCTTAATTTAATACTGGGATATGATTTGGGGAAATGAGGTGAGAACCAGATCTTCAGGTCCAGCCCCACAACTTTGCCTACAAATTATATTATACCAGCTAGAACAGGAATGAGGCCTGCAGGCCTGCATGCCCTTCACTTGGAGAAAGCCCCCCTGATATAGAGGGCTTATATCTGAGCAGTCAAAAAGAAGCTGGAAGCTGCATTTTTGCACTGGACTGAATGTACACGCAGTACAATGGGCTTGAAAATGCCAGGTTAGTTTGAGGAGAAGTAAAGCAGGGCTCCTTCTGCAGGTACTGGGGCCTGGAAATCAATAAAATCAGGCAATCAAACTAAACAGTCTTGTAGAAGAACATGAGTGTTGCACTAGGAGAGCAAAGCGACGCTCAAGATGTGGCAAGAAAAAATTATCCTATAATATCCTTGAGCGAGAAACGCCTGGTGATTCTGAAAAGGAAGAGGCACTCATGATCATATTGCAAATATACATTGTTGACTGGCACACACCAAAGAATGTCAGAAGACCCATTTATTTATTTATTTTTGGATTTATATCCTGCCTTTTTCTTACAAAGGGCTCAAGGCAGCTAACATCATTCTCCTCCTCCATCTTATCCCCACAACAACAACAACCCTGTGAGGTAGGTTGAGTTGAGAGTCTGTCACCCAAAGTCACCCAGTTGACTCCATGGCTGAGCGGGGACTAGAATCCAGGTCGTCCGAGTCCCAGTCCGATGCTCTTCACCACTACACCACACTGCCTCTCATGTGTGGCTTTATAGACTATTTATGGCTTTACAGACTACAGCAAAACACTGTTTGGATCGCAAGAAGCTATGGATGGTCTGGAGAGAAATGGATGTGCCTCAGCACTTGACTGTCTTGATGCATCACCTGTGTGCTTCCAAGCCCAATTCAAGGTGATGATTTTCAACTACCAAGCTGTACATGGCTTGGGATCAAGCTACCTGATGGAACATTGCTCAACACTGGAAAAGTGAAGAACTACCCACCGACAAACTGATTCTAAAAAAGATCCTGGGCTGTGCAGAAATGGATAGACTTTATCATTGAAGGAGAAGGAAGATACTTTGATCAAACTTGGGACTCTTTTTACTATTGGCTAGAGAAACGGGACTTCACATAGATTTAAATATGTTTGTAAGTTATCATAAATGGAAAAAGAAGGGTGTGGGGGCTGACCCAGCATGCCCGATATGTTTGATGATGTTGTTTTTTAGTTTTTCTTTGTTTTTTAAGATTATAATTTCAAATAAAACTTATTTTTTTTAAAAAAGCTACCTGATGGAACACAGCTCCCAACCTGAATCTGTCCAGACACTATGCTCAACACAGTGCGCCAAATGCCACCTCCATGAGAGGCTTGGAGGGGGGCAATGAGAAGACCTCCTCAGTGGTAGCCCCCTTTCCATGCCCAAATTATGGAACAGTATCTCCCTGTAGGTGCACCTGGCACATCCTTTTGTCATTTGTTTCAGCACCAGGTTAAGACTGACCTCTGCTCCTTTGTTTAATGGTACCTAAGGTGGGATTTATGTCAGCAATCTTTTTAACACATTAGCAGTTTCACCAAACTTGTCTTTAGTTGCTTACATTGCTTTCAGTTTTGCATAATCTAAATTTATGTGGCCCTTCATGATCTATCTCTGTGGGTTATAATTGCATGAATTGTTGTGAACTGCCCCAATTACTTTTGGCTGTTGGGTGGTATATGGCTCAATTCAAGGTGCTGGTTATTACCTATAAAGCCCTTAACGGCTTGGGACCTGGATACCTAAAGGAACGCCTTCCGGGAACCCTCCGTGAAAGCCATTAGGAGGCAAAGTACCTGGAGCAGGGCCTTCTCTGTGGTGGCACCCCGTCTATGGAATGCGCTCCCCAGAGAGGTCCGCCTGGCGCCATCATTATTTGTTTTTCGGTGCCAGGCTAAGTCCTTTTTATTTAAACAATATTTTAATAACTTTTAACATCAGTTATATAGGTTTTAATCTGCAGCCAGGGTGGATCTGGATTTTATTTGTATTATGTTTTATTTTCCTATTTACGTAAGCTGCCCTGAGGCTATGCAAAAGGACAGCATACAAATATTCTAAATAAATAAATAAATGAAACAAATACCAGTGTGGTGCAGTGGTTAAGAGAACAGATCTGTGACCCGGGTGACCCAAGTTCCAGTCCCTGCTCAGCCATGAAGCCAACTGGGTGACTTCGGGCCAGTCCCAGACTCTCAGCCCAGCCTACCTCACAGGGCTGTTGCAGGGATAAGACTGAGAGCAGGAGGAAGAGGAGGATGTAAGCCGCTTTGAGTTCTTTGTAAGAAAAATGCGGGATACAAATCTGATGAATAATGCTGTGTTTCCCCGAAGACTGGGTCTTATATTAACTTTTGCTCCCAAAGATGCACTAGGGCTTATTTTCGGGGAAACACGGTAGATAAAAACAACCACGAAGACCAGTTTTCCAATAGCGTGAAATCCCTGCACCGCCGCCGAAACTGCCGCCAGCCACCGCTCTCCGCAGCTCCCGAGCGGAAACGGAAGTAAGAGACATAGTGCCCATACTTGGGGCTGCGACTTCGGAGGTCTCTACTGCGCACGGCTGAGTTTTTCAGGGCCAGCCTCGAGCTCAACGGGCGGGGGCGGTCGCGGGCCGTCCTCCGACACTTCCGGGACCTAGTCTCGAGCTCGCGAGAACGCCTCCCTTTTCCGGCTTGAGCCTTCTGAGGTGAGGTCGTTCTCTGCCTGTCCGTCCGGCTCGGGGACTTAGGACTTTCCGCCGGCCGCCGTCTGCAGCTCGCCCGGTGAGTCAGACTGTGGAGCACGGAGGAGAGAGCTCGGGCGGAGGCCGCGCCGGCAGCGGCTCGGGTGCCGTCATGATGTCTCCCCGCACCCCCTTCGGTCAGCTCTCGACCGCGGGGGCGGGGGGGGGGGCTGGTTTGCTGAGGCCCTTTGCCGGTACTATGATGCCACGTAGGAAGGGCGGACACGTGTCCGGCTCGCTGCTAACTTGCAGCTGCGTGTCCAATTTATCCCCCGCCGCCGCTTTTATATGTTTTTTTCTCCATTATGTAACAGCTGAACTCGTAAGCTGTCTCTAGTGGCGAATGTGAACACCCCAATTAATTTAGGTCCCATCTTGCTAATTTGTGCTGGGGAAGTAGCTTGAGTTTCCCTCTCCCCTTGCTTCCCCAAGCCCCACAGCACGGGATTTGCTACGGCAGGATCTGGGCTCGGATCTCAATGTAATGATGCATCCTCTTGTAGACTTTGCATCCCTGCCCTTTCCCCTCCATCCTGCTCTGCTCCCATCAGAAAAAAAATGATGCCCTTTTGCCACATAGAATTAAAGGGAGGGTTAAAGGAAGGAGTTATGCCTTCAGCTTTGAATGCATAAATACAAAGCTGGACACGATTAAGCTGAAATGAAGCATTTTTCAGTCTTAACTGATACCATTGAGAGAAAGTTAAACGTGTTTGGTTCTGTGATTTGTGTCATTAGGAATAGAAGCTTGACTAAATGGTTCCTGCTCCTTTCCCCTGTATTTTAAAAAAATTCATGGCTTCCTAGAAAATATGACCAGTGTTCTTGAACATAGTCTCTCACTTTACAGGGTTTCCTGTTTCCATCAGATTACGTTAAAGGTATTACATTAAAACAATGTGAATTGTCATTTACTGGAAAATATTTTCTATCACGTTGACACCGAACTTTTTTTGTTTGTTTGTTAAGCTATCTGATCCATGTACAGCATGCATTCTGCTGCTTACTAGTGAGTTTTTCACCTTTCCCATAGTAAGGAGAAATCCTGTTTGCATGTGTTCATTCATTTAATAATAGTTGCTATTCATTGTCAGTGATGCTATTCGGCTGGTCAAACGGTGCAAGTGAGAAATGGCCAAGCTGTTCTCAAAGATGATGAAAATGCCGTTTCTTCATTTCGCTGTGCTGCTTATGGGCCTGAGCATGAAACAATTCCACTTATTGCACACAAAGTTCAAATCTGTCTCTGCTGTCTGGATTTATCTGGAACCTTTGTCCTTGTGAAGGGCTCTTGAGAGGAGAGCAGCTACTGCACACCGCCTGGAAAGTAGCCGTATTTTTCTGGTGGGTGAAGAAGATGAAGAAAAATAATCTCTAACTTGTAGCTATGGGGAGAGCCAGTGTGATGTAGTGGTTAAAGTAGAACTGGGTAGACTCAGATGGAGCCTAACCTATCCTCACAGGAGGAAATGTGGTGGACTGTGTATGCTACTTCGAAAGCTAGGCTATAAATATAATAATGCAGTGTTGCTGTGTCAAACAGTTGGACTTTTTCCTGATAAGAAAGTATTTTCTGAAAGTTCATGGGTAGCTTTTTCCAGTCTGTGTGCAAAGGAATTAGGAGGCAGTGGTGATGGCAGCATCAGCTGGGAATGCAAAAATCACCAATCATTCATTGGTGTTAATGAATGATGAAGTGCTTTGGGATCTCACAAGTAGCAACTGAGAGTTTAATAAGGAAGCTGCAAAGGAAAGTCTAGTTGAAGCTATGATCAGAACTGTAACTGTTCCCTTGGCCAACTGTCAGAACAGGTCAGGTTAGGTTTTCTGACAAAGAAACAGAACTTCACTGGCAGGTGCCATACTGTATGATTCTTTGTCAACATGATTGCAGTATAAGTCTCTGGAATGAACTTGTTATTCAAACTGCTGAGTCCACTCTGGCTGTTGTAGTTCCGACCACCTCTAGCAGTTTTGTTATTCTCCGGGCTAACCTGCAGCTGGGAATGCTGTGTTAGATCCTTGGCTTGAGTTTTGCACATTTGCTGCTGCAGCTGGGACTGTGAGGCATAGATAGAAATTCTGGCTCCTGCATGGGGGATGGCTGATGGAACATACAACTGCAGGACAGTAAAAGGCTGCTTGTGTAAGTCAGTGAAACACAGAGAAAAAGAAGAGGTGAAGAATAGAGGGAAGCAACTTACTTATTTCATTTTTATACTGCCTAATGGCTGAGGCTCTCTAGAAGGTTAAATGCTTAAAAAAGCAAAAATAAAATACATAAACATACTTAGCAATTGCAACGGAATCAACATAGTGGTGCAGAATAAACTGCAGTATTTTAAAGGAAGGAAAAACGTTACTATGTTCTTGGTAATATGTCGTAATGTGTATCAGTCTTTGAAAGGGTGAACTTTTTTCGGTATAGTAATACCTTTAAATGATTTCTGCATTTTAATTTAATACTATTTCTAGTTAGTAGAACTAAGGGAACTTGAAGCAGGAAAATAATGAAAGCCGAACCCCCTTAAGCAGTAAGTTAAAGTACATCTGCCTGCATTGTAAAGCTTGTTGAGGAAGCTCCAAGTGCACACTGGAACGGAAAAAATATCCTTTTAGCTACAGCCTTCTGTGAATTGGGAGTCATCTGCATCACAATACAGGAAGTTAAGCTTGTGGGAAATAAAGAAGCTCTGGTATGCAAGATAATACACTTCCTGTGTATGCCTAAGGATCTCTGGATCCTCTCCATGCATCCTAGCATGCATTCCACCATCCACATATACCAGAGCATGAAGATAAATGTTTTTGCAAACTGCATTTCCTATTAAAAAAACTTGCAGTATAAATCAGGAGTCACTTTTATTGATCTTGCATATTTCTTATTCCCATGTCTACTCACATATTTATTTCTACTTCCTGTACTTTGGCCTGTATAGGGAGCAAACGAAGGAACTAGATATAGAGTTATCATTCAGTGATAAATATGTCTTGAAAGCTGAATTGTCTTGTTGGTATATTGGTGAGTGTCTTTGCTTGAAGCCTTTGGGTTTTGTGGGGTGGTTTCTGAGGTGTTGTGTTGCAGCTTTTATTTACTGATGGTTGATACTCTGCCTCTTTGCATTGGATTAAAGGAGAAGATAATCAAAACAGAACAAAGTTCTTTATTTTATTAAAAACAAGTGCCATAGTGAATCAGACAAAGGTCTTCTGCTTTCTTTGGTCTCTTAATAAAAACACACAAATATGGAAAACTGGCAGTCATAAAGTAGGTGACTTGATGATGCAGCAATAATATAATCTTATGTTTATGAGTGTACAAAGAATGTGGTCAGGACACCTTTTGGGCTCTATGTATTTTGAAGATGATGTGGGATTTACAGCCTTTTTACAGTGATTTGTTTGAAGAACCACACAGAGGATTATGCTTCTAAAATCAGCTGCAAGAAGCATAAACAAGCATGATTACTTTTTGTTCTCCTTGTGGGAGCACATTCTGTGTGTCATTGCAATGGAGTTGTAATCCCCTCCCCTCCAGCATTCATGGACTAGTTGGGATGGGAGACTTCAGTTTCTCCTTATTTTATTAGAAATTATAATTGTGTGTTAGTATAACAACCTGTATGATTTTTTTGGTCATAAAACGTTGCTGTGCAGTGCTTGATTGCACGTTGCCTGGGGTAGGGTGTGTGTTTTGATAGCAAATAACTGCTTATCTGGGGTGGCACTGGGGTGGCACTGGGCAGATTTTTATTCTTCAGGGCTACAGTAACTAACAAGTCATTCTGTGGCTTGTAAATCCATTTGTGCTTTATCATATTTTACTTGCTATGGGTGCGGTATACTCTTGTACTGTATACACTGAATGCAATTGCATGATTTGGAACTGTTGCAATAAAACAAGCAAGGATTGTGATGGGTTCTACAGACAAACCATGATTTTCAGTAATGGAGTAAAAAATACTTACACCTGCCACGTGTATTTATAAAATGTGCATAGGGGCATCTCCTGCCTCCTGCAAAAGAAAGTTTGTGTGCAAATGTACACCTTTTCAGTCCATGAATCAAACTGGAGTTGCTGGTCCTGCAAAAGATTAGGAAGCTTCTCTTAATAGATTTGCTGGTTTGGTGGTTACAGGGCAGGATTGGGGATGTGGGAGGTCTGAGATCTAGTTCCCAGTCAGCCAGGAAGCTCATTGGATGACTTTGGGCCAGCTGTAGACTCAGCCCAACCCTGTTATTGTTTATTGCTGGCACTTGTATGCCACCCCATAGCCAGAAGGCTCTCTACCTCGCAGGGCTGTTGTAATGATGAAATTAAGCTAGGGAAGCAGTTTTGGGTTCCGCACAGGACAAAAAAGGCAGGATGTAAATGCAATGCAATAATAACTGATTCATAAGAGATTATTGACCCGTTTGAATCTACCTTCTGGTGTTTTATGGTTAAAAAGCCGATTAGGGAAAAAGGATTGGGAATAAGTGCTTGGCTTTAGCTTAATGAAATAGAGCCTAAATTTACTTAAATGTTCTGCTGGACTATCTGTGTTTTTGTGTGTAATGACAAGCTGCTGCTTGTTAAAATAATTTAGTTCTGTATGGGGATTATGGGGGATATAGGTGCTCCAGTAATGTAGCTCTTTAGAACTGCGTTTGCATAGTTCCAAAACAATGTAGAAGGAACATCAAATGAACTGTTAGCAGATTTATTCATGGAAACACTCTGCTTTTTTGTTTTCTTTCCTTTTTTCAGCTATATCATGTGAAAGGGAAACTTTGTGTTTCAGAAGTCAAAGTTCCTCTTGTGTAGGCATGTAGTGAACCTCAAATAACATCTAGAGAGGGGCTTTTTGAAAATGCTTGTAACTACTTGTTCTACTACATTTGATTTTCAAATGCTTCAAGAACACAGTGATAACACAAAACATATTAAGCCAGTTCAAAAGTTTGTGAAAGCTTTTGAGTTCTTCAGAATTTATAAGGCAGAATTACAAAGAAAACAACCTTCCTGATTCAGGATTTCCAAAGAACTTCAAATGCTTG